ATGCAAGGATGGTTCAACATTAGAAAAACAATCAATGTAATCCACCACATAAATAAGAAAAAGGAAAAGAACCACATGATCATATCAATTGATGCAGAAAAGGCATTTGACAAAATCCAACATCCATTCATGATAAAAACATTCAACAAAGTAGAAATTGAAGGGAAATTCCTCAACATAATCAAGAGCACATATATAAAACCAACAGCCTACATTACTCTCAATGGAGAGAAACGGAAAGCCTTCCCTCTGTGAACAGGAACCAGACTAGGATTCCCTTTGTCACCACTCCTCTTCAATATTGTTTTGGAAGTATCAACCAGAGATATATGGCAAGATAGGGAAATTAAAGGCATCGAAATTGATAGAGGAAATAAAACTCTCTCTATTTGCAGACAATGTGATCCTATACATAGAAAACCGCAAAGACTCAGTAAAAAAAGCTAGTAGACATCATTGTAAGATTCAGCAAAGTGGCAGGGTATAAGATCAACATGCAAAAATCAGGTAGATTCTTCTATAGTAACAATGACAGTGCTGAAAAAGACATTAGAAAAGAAATACCATTTACAATAGCCGCCCAAAGGATTAAATATTTAGGAATAAACATAATCAGAGAAACAAAGGACCTATACAGAGAGAATTACAAAATACTACTACAAAAAACCAAGAGACTTACAAAAGTGGAATCACATACCATGTTCCTGGATAGTAAGACTCAACATCGTGAAAATCTCAATACTACCCAAAGCAATTTACACATATAATACAATCCCAATCCAGATTCCAATGACATTCTTTAGAGATAAGAAAAGACAATTACAAACTTTATATGGAAAGGAAGGAGATGCAGGATAAGCAAAGCACTGCTCAAGAAGAAGAACAAGGTTGGAAGCCTCTCACTGCCCGATTTCAAAGTCTACTACATGGCTACAGTGGTCAAAACAACTTGGTACTGTTACAATGAAAGATACATTGATCAATGGAACAGAATTGAGAATCCAGAAATGAACCCTTCCACATACAGCCAACTGATTTTCAACAAAGTGCCTAGGTATGCTACATGGGGAGGAGATAGTCTCTTTAACAGATGGTGCTGACAGAACTGGAAAGCAATATGCAAAACATTGAAACAAGACCTTCACCTCATGCCTTATATAAAACCGACTCAGCATGGATTAAAAGACCTAAATGTGAATCCCAAAATTATGAAAGTCATCAATGAAAAAATAGGGCCAAGTTTGAGGGATCTAATACAGAGAATACACAGACTACCAAACATTTTGAAAAGTACACAAATGAAACTAGACAAAATAGATGATTGGGACATAGTAAAAATTAAAAACTTATGTGCATCAAAAGACTTCACCAAAAGAGTAAAAATGGAACCCACAGAATGGGAAACAATCTTTCTCAATGACACATCAGACAAGGGACTCATTTATAAAATATATAGGAAACTACAACACCTCTACAAGAAAAAGACAAATAACCCAATTAAAAATGGACACAGGACATGAACAGACACTTTAACAAAGAAGAGATCTGGGCAGCCAACAAACGTATGAATAAATGTTCACGATTATTAGCCATTAGAAAGATGCAAATCAAAACAACAATGAGGTATCATCTCACACCAGCAATAACAGCAAAGATCAAAAAGTAGGGGACAATAAGTGCTGGGAAGGATGTGGAGAGACTGTGATGCTCCTGAATTGCTGGTGGGATTGCAAAATGGTCCAGCCTATCTGGAAAGCAATATGGTGCTTCCTCAGAAGGTTGGTAATAGAAATACCTTATGATGTAGCAATTCCTCTACTTGGTATTTACTCACAAGAAATATGAGCCATAACACAAGTAGATATATGCACACCAACATTCACAGCAGCACTATTTACAATAGCAAAAAGATGGAGATAGCCTAAGTGTCCACTAATTGAAAAAGAGGAAGACCCCCAATGAGATGGATTGATAGAGCTGGCAACAGCGATAGGCTCAGGCAGAGTAATGATTTTGAGGTTGACCCAGGGTCAGGCAGTGTTTCTTGTTGTGCACAGGCTTTCTATGAGTCAGTGCCAACACAATGGGACCTAACTACTAACTTCCTTCCTCAGTTTTCAGTGAGAATAAAACAGTGAGAATAAATCATAAAACCACACAAAAGTTTTATTTAACCAACTGATTATTATTATTATTAAGTCAGTTCTGACTAATAGGGATCCTAAAGGACAGAGTAGATCTGTCCTAAAGGGTTTCCAAAGCTGTTATTTGAATGGGAACATGCTGCCACATCTTTCTCCCACAGTGCAGCTGTTGGGTTCAAACCTTTTCTACAGCAGCCAAGTGCTTAGCCACTGCACCACCAAGGAATGACACTCATTATGCTAATGGTTATTACCTGGGCATCGATTGCTTTGTCCAGATCGTCTCGTTTCCTCATCAAGGCCTCCAGGCTGTCTAGGGAGTCCTTGTCACCTGACCTTAGGAAGTTCTCACGTGCCACCATCCAGCTCTCAGCCTGATCACAGTCCCCTTGGAATAACTATAGAGAATGAAGTTAGAGGCATATGATACATTTATTCCAGGGAACAGAGGAAATGATTTTATCTCTCTCCCATGATATTGTATTCACATAAGAGATCCTTTAGGGTGTACCTGCAAACTAATCAAAAATGTATAATACTTATAACATATTTACAAAATACTTATAAGAAATGTATGTGTGTGTGTAAGAGAGAAAGAGAAAGAGAGACAGAGAGAGTGACAGAGAGAAAGAGATTGAGAATTAAAGGGTAGGGTGGAGTATAGACCTTCAGGGGCCTAATCCAAACTCTACTTACCATTTCAGTAGATTAATTATCTTACTTGAGTGGCCATTAATTTCCTGGAATCTTTGGCTATAGTTCTGGGCCAATTAATTAACTAATTAATTAATTAATTAATTAATATATACTTTTTGCATTTCCATATGGATATTTACCTGGAATAATTGACAAATGATACTAAATTTGTTCAAATCATAATGGCACTGTTCAGTTACTGCCAGCCTAATTCTTAGACAAGTGATGAGGCCTTCAGAAATGGAGGGAGGAGGCATCCCTAAGAGTTTCCAGAGATCAAGCGTCAAAGTTTCATTGGTATTAAATGGATGAAAGGATAATGTGAGTAGTCTTCCCTTCCAGGAAACTAACATTCTCTAGTATTACAAGCATTTAAAATTGGTAGATCTATCTGAGAAAGACCTGGTAGATTTTGAAGAGCAAGGAAGGGCCCATGATTCTTTGGTTAGGATAAGAGATCTTATTTTATGGCAAACTTCTAGCAATCTCTCAAGTCTCAGCAAGTCAGAAACATGTGAAATTTACATGAGTGCAGGGAAAATCTTCTCTGACCTAAGATAATTTAGAGATGTTGGGGTAATTAATAAAATTAGGCTTGATGAAGTAAAGACTTGCCTTGTGAGAGGTAAAGATAACACAACCAAGCACATAACAAATGAGAAGGGATTCTTGTGCTGTTTGGAAAAATAATCATCATCTTTATCAGCTAAGAGCAGACTGGAGCTTGTGTGCCTTACTCGTTATAACCCCCAAGCTCCAAACATTCATGGGATACAGATAATACACACACACACACACACACATGCATTTTAGCTATTTGGTTCTTCTGTTCTTTTCTGAACACACATTTTATGTTTTTACATATGCTATATACCATTCTTGGAATGCTCTTCCCTATATGCTTCACCTGGTAAACTCTGGCCACTTATCTCTATAAACTTTGGTATACACTTCTGAGTACCTTAGATCACTCCCATTCCTCTTCGTGAAAAAAGGATTAATTGTTCCCTCCTCTTTATATTTTGTTTTATTAATCACTGTCTTGTTGTATAAGAATGATCTGTCTACATGTCTAATTTTACTATAAAGGGACCCTATCTTTCTAATCTTCATGTCCCCAGGGCACTGAGTACAGTAAGTCCTAAATGAACAAATGTAAGCAAATGACAATGATCTCACTTAATGCCCAGAGTTGACCCAATCATGCTTGGTTCTTCTAACAAGAGTAAAAGCAAAGAAGACCACAATGATTAAAACAGAGAATCAAGTATTAGATAACAAGAGATGACCTTCTGCTAATAGCATGGAAAAGCCACCGAACGAAGCACCAGTATCATGTAAATTTTCATGGAAGAAACTGACTGAGGCTTGTCCAGCTTATTGATTGGGAATCTGTCTTACCTGCAACTCCAGACATTGTTGTAGCATCTTCTTTCGTTGTTCCCAAGCTTTATCTAAATCATTTCTATCTTGCCTAACATCTTGAAGCTTTCTTTCTATTTCAAGGCTGGCATCATGCTCACTGCCTATAAGTTCTGCACCAAAATCCTCTAATGCCTGAAAGGTAGGAGTCTCAGCCTCCATATCATCGTGGTGCTCCTGTGGAACAAAGGGGCAGAGACTGGTGAGAACAATCCAACTGGATTGATCATAAAATGAGGGTATGTTGTGAGGTCTGTGACCAGTGGCTATGGCTCTTTTTTATGCATACCTGGTGTCTCTCCAGCAAGATCTCTGTGCCAGTTAAGTCTCCACCTAGTTCCTGTGATGACACCATACCACCAATGCCATTCATCCAGTTCTGTAGATCACTAGGGAATAGACAGAATATTGGCACTGAGAAGAAAACCTTGTAACTTTCAACAGGGGCCTGCCCATTACTTTATCTTTCTAGAGATGAATTAACATCTATCCCACTTTTGTATGCTTTACAGATCTAAGGTTTTCTGTTTGTAGTATATCACTTACGATACTAATCCCTTGCATTTTGAAAATCTCTACATATATGTTGTCTCTGTTACTTCTAACAATCTGTGCAGAAAGGCATTATATTTTACAGATGAGAAAAATTAGACTAGAAAAAAAGGAAAATGATTAGCCCAATGCGATAAAACTAAAAGGAAACATCTGCACTGAAATTCAATCTTCTGGCATCATGAGCCTCTATGTATTCCATTATTCCTATCAACTCCTGTCCCTTTAAAGTGGCTTCTTGGGTTTAAAGATCTCTCTTATCATTGAGTCTAAAGGACAGCATGTCCTACCTTTTACTTTTTTTCACAACACAATTCAATACAGGATTTTGCTCACTAAACACACGTATTCAAACATACTATTGATTAAGTCAGAGTCTATTGCCCATTCTCTTAGTCGGTAAGATGTAAGACAATACAGATCAACATATGTCCTCTTTAGAGGGCAAATGTCAAGCAGCTATGCATTAGCTTATTGTATATGGAGCTCAAATTAATTGTTTCATAAAGAGTTTCCCTGATGTCTGTTTGCTACATAGAAATCATGAGCTCATCTGTGGCAGAGGAAAGTCTTTTTTCATAAAGTCATTCATTTACTGAATAAGTAACTAAGCTTTACTCATGTTTATTAATTATCTAGCATTGACTAAAAAGACATTCTTGTCTTCTAGGAACTCATACTTTCTTTCCATTGAAAGAGATAAAAACAAACAAAACATAGACACTAGTACCTATTAAAAATAAAACATAACAAAACTACAAACCCTGAAAAACAAAAACTGTCATAAAGAGGAAGAAGAACAAGGAATTGTGAATTTTCAGAGGCTGGGAATAATACTTTCACAATAGTGAAGAGTAACACTTCATACAGTAAAAGACAGAGCATTTGATCTGGAAGTTAAAGTTCAGATAGAATCTATATCTGCAGCAATAGGTTTTTGGAGACCAGATGTGGGTGCTACTTGTTTATTTACTACATGGAAGACTAGAGTTGTCCAAAGGTGCTGAATTGTGGTGGAAGAGGTCAAGAGTTAGCACAGTCATTTGCCAAATGTGCCTTCTTTCTTCTCTAGCAAATATATCACTGCAATGTGAGCTATTACTTCCTGGTCCACAACTCTAAGGGCTCCATTTACTAGACTAATATGATGGGGTAGAACGTAGGAATAGTCCCACAGATAAGTATATATTTGTAGTTGATTTTTGGATTCTAACAATCTTTAAATGATTTAACAAAGCATTCAAAATTCTCCAATATTACATCCCAACATTCAAATTTTTCTCTCTTGCTGCTTCTCCTTGTTGTTAAATGTCATAAAGTCAGTTCCAACTCATAGTGACACTGTATAGGTTTTCTATGGAGCAAGTGGTGAGTTTGACAGACCTTGCAGTTAAATATTTATCCTACAGCATCACACCAGGACTCCAACTCCAAGTCTCCTTAGCCCCTGATATACAAACCTACACTCTAGCTACCACTGCTCCAGGAACATTATGTGGTCTCGTTTGCATAGCTCTCTTGGCATATGTATCTTTCTCTCCTGTCTTGTTAGAATCATGACTGATAAGATTCAGTGAAATGCTACTTTTCCTACAAGTCATCAACTGTTCTCTGCACCTTCAAGTTCCCATTGTGGTTGAGGCCATCTAAGCCAGAAGCTTATGTAACTGGCATAGATGACCTCACATCCCTTCTAACTTCAATATTTTAAGGTTTTGAGTACTGAACTTCCCATTTTTGTGTTTCACCAGACACAGTAGATACAGCGGGTTCCTCAATACCCACCAGTGAACAGCAAACACTTGTATCCAGACTTCTCTGATAAGTTCTACTCAGGAGCCAAATTAAGGGATTGACCACTCCATCTGATGGAAGTCTACCTTTTGTTCTTTACCTGGCCTTGCTAAGGAAGAGGTAGAATTTCTGGGATTCGTTTAAGTTTTCTTTGCGACCCTTTGTATGTTCCAGAAGGTCATCCCAAGCCTCATTCAACTCTCTTCGTTGCCTTTGCAGGTCCTCAGTGGCATCTGGATGGGACTCACTGAGCCGTTCTGCTGTTTCCCCCAAGGTGGTCACCTGTTGTGGTACAAGAGATGTTAACCAGCTTAGAGTAATTATAGCCTAATCATACCTGGAACTTCTGATGTAGTGCTGTAGAATTAGCACTGGGCTGCAAACCACAAGGTCGGCAGTTCAAATCCACCAGCTGCTCCTCAGAAACCACATACAGGGTCACTGTGAGTTGGAACTGACTCGATGGCTCTTAACAACAACAATCATACCTGAATCCCATAAGGAATTGGGTTAAAAGAGGAGACCTGAGCCTTAGGGCTCATCTTTCTAAGTAGGTATCAGAGCTATAAAAAGCACATATTGTTATTTTTTAACAATTATCACATGATAATTATGTGAAGAATTCAAAACTGACATCACTATACTTCTTTTTAAAATAAGAAGTAAGTGGGGGCAGAGTAGCTAAGTGTGTTTGCTGATTAGTGGTAAGATCCATAACTCTGATTCTTAATGTGCAGATCCTTCCAATATAGACAACTTCTGCACAATAATGCCAAGCTGTGGTTGATTATTGTGTATTCTAATGTTACAGGCAAACTCAAGATTCACATTTGGGTCAGGGTAAGGTTAGGAAGTTCCAGTGATTCCTGGTTGAAGAAATTCTGCACCATGCTCAGGTATAGGTCTAGTCATCCTGGGTATGGCCTCCAATTTAACTTCAGGCAATTTCTGGTCACTTGGAGTCTGCTAAAGTGACAAAGGACAATAGTACAGTCATGTAGCAAGTAGGAGGTTTGATTCTAACATGATTTACCTGTAATGTTAATAGTTGTGGGCCATATCCTTTTTGTGGTCGTGTCTTAAGGAGATGACACAACAATACATGAAAGGAATAAGATCAAGATAAATCTAAGAGCAGGAAGCTGAAGAAGAAAACTAAAAAAAAAAAAGGGCAATGTTGCTGTTGTTGTTGTTGTTGTTAAGTGCCATCATGTTGGTTTTGACTCATAGCAACTCTGAATAGGGTTTTCTAGGAGTGACTGGTGAGTTTGAACTTCCAACCTTGTGGTTCAAACCAATCTTGTAGTCCAGCACATTAACTCACAGAGCTACACCAGGACTCCAAAAAAAGAGCATTGATAAATGTCACTATGAAGAGGAACATGTTGGAAAAGTCTGGTAGCACATGCTGTCTTACCTTTTCTTCCAAGGGCGGAAGTTCTCGCTCGAAGCCCTCATGTTGTCGCTGAAGGGCCTGGACGCTGAATAGATCTGAGCCAGGGTCAGCAGCTTTGATGGCCTGGCATTTCTTCTCAATCAGTTCCTTTGTGTCATCTGCATCTCTGATACACAGGAAAAGAAAGAGTGACTTTGCTAGTTAGTGGCAATGACATGCACTGTGTCACTAAGGAAGACTTGCTGGGCTCACCTAGAAGTCATACCTATCAGGTTGTTTTTATAGTTATAGCAAGCCTTATCCTTATCATAATCTAACCTCACAACAACCCTCAGAGTCATAGTTATTATTGTCATTCATAGGCTTAAAGAAGTTAAGTATTTTCTCAAATTTATACAACTAATAGGACTCCTAATACGGCACTGTAGCATCACCACTGGACTGCTAATCACAAGATCAGTAGTTCAAACACACCAGCTGCTCTTTGGAAACCCTATACAAGGTTGCTATGAGTCAGAACTGAATCAATGGCACTTAGTAACAACAACAACAACAACACAACTAATAAATGTTGAAGCCTGAGTTTGGAGTCCTGGTGTGACATTTTAGGATAAGCACTGCACTGCCAGGTTGATTTGAACCACAAGGTTGGTGGTTCAAACTCATCAGCCACTCCTATATAAAGTGTTGCTATGAGTTAGCACCAACTCAACAGCACTTAACAACAGCAACAACAAGTTTGAACCAAGTGGCCTAACTGCAGAGCCACATGCTCAACATGATATTCAATAGCATCCCATACTGTCATTCTGAGGAGTCAGGCCAGTACAAGTCTCCGTTTTCTCTTTCCCAAATCCTCAAAATTGCACTTAATGAAGTTGCGAGCTAAGCCTGACCACATTCAATATGCCCCTGTGAACCCAGGTGGACACCTGGATAGCCAGCAGTACAGCAAGACCCAGGAACTCCTGGGCCCATAGGCAGTGACATGGCCACAGAGGACTAGAATGGAGAATGAAGCGTCCAGCTGTTATGAAGTGAGGGGAGATGCACAAGAACATCCATATTTGTAGATAGTACCTACTTGACCTGGCTTTGGTGGCTGAGTGATCAGAACTCAACTAGAAGAAGTCCATTTAGTTGTATAATTACTATTTTTGTTTGTTTTCTTCTTTAGACAGAACTGAAATCAGATATATAGAATTGTTGGGTAAACATTTAGAGTTCATGTGATATTTGTTGTCTTCTACTAACTAATTCTCATTCAGCAATATAATCATTTAAACCTCTTTTTTCTATTTTAAGTTTCACTAACTCTCATTGAAAAAAAAGGTATTACCCACTATGTGCCAGGGGTTAAGCCTGGACCCTATAGAAATTGAGATGATTCTCTTGGAGTACCTTGTGTACCAAATGAGGACTCTACTACTGAAACATCTGCCCTGCTTTCCTATTGGCAAATTGACACGATTTTAAGAACAGTTTTAGTAAGAGTGGTGGTTGTTACTAAACAGAATTGATGGATTTTGAGTGAGTCATAGAGCAACACCACTTTTTTTTTCCAATTTGTCCCTGAATGTTTGGTAGAACTCACCAGTGAAGCCGTCTGGGTCTGAACTTCTTGTTTGGGAGTTTTTTCATGACCTGATCAATTTCTTCCTTTCTTATGGGTCTGTTCAAGTTTTCTACTTGACTCTGTGTAAGTCCTGGTGTGGTGCTGTGGGTTAATGCGCCAGACTGCAAAGCCTTTTGAACTGCAAAGTTGGTGGTTCAAGCTCACCAGCTGCTCCTCAGAAACCCTTTACAGGGTCAATATGGGTCAGAACCAACTCAATGGCACTTCACAACAACAACAACAAGTTTTGGTAGGTCCTGTTTTTCTAAAAATGCATCCATGTCTTCTAAGTTTTCGAATTTGTTGGAGTACAACTCTTCATAGTATTCTGTTATTATCTTTTTAATTTCATTTGGTTCCGTTGTGACATCGCTGGGTGGTTTCTAATGCGAATTATTTGTGTCTTCTCCCTCTTTTCTTTGGTTAGGTATGAGAATGATTTGTCAATTTTATTAATCCTTTCAAAGAACCAGCTTCTTGTCCTATTGATTCTTTCTATAGTTTTTCTGTTTTCCATCTCATTTATTTCTGCTCTAGTCTTTATTATTTCTTTTCTTTTGGTGACTGTTGTTGTTGTTGTTAAGTGC